CAGGCAACAGCCCCGAGCCCTCTCTCGGGTTTCCCTTTTATCCCCCCAGCGTAGCCTCGTTCCGCCCCGGCCACGCCCCCCTTCTAGAACCTACTAGCGGGTTCCCGGGCTTCCCTCACGTGCCCCCTCTGTAACCTTTCCCGTACATCCCTCTCTCTGGTTTATCACGTCTTCTTCGAACGCTGGGGAGCCGGAAAAGCCCTCTGTACTAGCGTGGACGGCACCCTCGTGTTCGCCTTCTGAAACGCTCGCTCGTCACCGTGGCGTGCGCGAATGACCAACCACAACCACCACCACCACGTGACTTTCCTTTCGTGTTGTGCGCGGTGCTTTTTTAGCGCCACAGCCCGTGGATTTTTAACGTTTATTTTCATTTGTGTTGCTGGTGACTTTGTGTATTTCATATCGAAATCGCCTCCAGTGCTTTTGCTGCGGGGGGCAATAAAAGTTGTTTCAAAAGTCAAAAAAGGTCTGGTTTATCACGTGACCTGCTGTCAGTCAGGGCAGCTGCAATTGCAGATCCCCTTCTCTTCTAGCAACCAGCGCTGTGTTACGTAGTGACCAATTCTATGTCACTACACGGGTAAAAACAAAATGTGTTGGTCTATTTGTTTGTGTTTCTCCCTTGTGATGGGACTTTGCAGGATGAACGTTGAGATTTTTAAGGGGCACGGAGTAACCAATAAGGTCTGAATTGGTCTGTTATAAGGTAGGGCACTGATAAGGGGTTGACAAGGATGCGTCGTCATCGTGTGGACATGTTATAGCAGCAGCTAAATGCTTTACGTGATGTTGATTCTAAATGTGGAAGAGAAAAAACCGGAGGACCCTGAGACAAATTCACACGACCACGTGGAGAGAGAGATAGAGACACGCAAACTCCAAATATGCAGCAGGTGTCAGGGTCAGCATCGAACTCACGACCTCCTGTATACCAGGCGAGGTAGTTAACATCTCCTAACCACCGTGATGATGATGATGATGGGAGACGCAAATTCCAAATATACAGCAGCAGGCGTCAGGGTCGGGATCGAACCCACGACCTCCTGCAAACCAGGCGAGGTAGTTGACATCTCTCAACCATGGCGCGCACATCACCCATGGTCAATCCACTGCTGGATGAATGCCTACCCCCACCCCAGACAGGTAAACAGACAGAGAGGTAAACAGACAAAGAGGTAAACAGACAGACAGGTAAACAGACAGATAGGTAAACAGACAGACAGGTAAACAGACAGAGAGGTAAACAGACAGAGAGGTAAACAGACAGACAGGTAAACAGACAGACAGGTAAACAGATAGACAGGTAAACAGACAGAGAGGTAAACAGACAGACAGGTAAACAGACAGACAGGTTAACAGACAGACAGGTAAACAGACAGACAGGTAAACAGACAGAGAGGTAAACAGACAGACAGGTAAACAGACAGAGAGGTAAACAGACAGACAGGTAAACAGACAGACAGGTAAACAGACAGAGAGGTAAACAGACAGACAGGTAAACAGACAGACAGGTAAACAGACAGACAGGTAAACAGACAGACAGGTAAACAGACAGACAGGTAAACAGACAGACAGGTTAACAGACAGACAGGTAAACAGACAGACAGGTAAACAGACAGAGAGGTAAACAGACAGACAGGTAAACAGACAGAGAGGTAAACAGACAGACAGGTTAACAGACAGACAGGTAAACAGACAGACAGGTAAACAGACAGAGAGGTAAACAGACAGACAGGTAAACAGACAGAGAGGTAAACAGACAGACCAATGAGACAGATTGCGCATGACTCCAAACACAACAACAACAGTAACCACAGCACCACGCGGAGGCGGTGCGTCAGTCACCCTCACCTCCGCCTGACCCGGCCGTATTTGTCTCCCACGGGGGCTCGCCCCCAATAAACACGCGTCCGTGTTGGGCGTTCGAGCGTGGGGGCTGTGATGACCTCACGCCTGCTGTTGTGATGACCTCACGCCTGCTGCTGCTGTGATGACCTCACGTCTGCTGCTGTTGTGATGACCTCACACCTGCTGCTGTTGTGATGACCTCACGCCTGCTGCTGCTGTGATGACCTCACGTCTGCTGCTGTTGTGATGACCCCACGCCTGCTGCTGCTGTGATGACCTCACACCTGCTGCTGATGACCTCACACCTGCTGCTGTTGTGATGACCTCACGCCTGCTGCTGCTGTGATGACCTCACGTCTGCTGCTGTTGTGATGACCTCACGCCTGCTGCTGTGATGACCTCACGCCTGCTGCTGCTGTGATGACCTCACGCCTGCTGCTGTTGTGATGACCTCACGCCTGCTTCTGTTGTGATGACCTCACGCCTGCTGTTGCTGTGATGACCTCACGCCTGCTGCTGTGATGACCTCACGCCTGCTGCTGCTGTGATGACCTCACGCCTGCTGCTGTTGTGATGACCTCACGCCTGCTGCTGTTGTGATGACCTCACGCCTGCTGCTGTGATGACCTCACGTCTGCTGCTGTGATGACCTCACACCTGCTGCTGTTGTGATGACCTCACGCCTGCTGCTGTGATGACCTCACGCCTGCTGCTGTGATGACCTCACGCCTGCTGCTGTTGTGATGACCTCACGCCTGCTGCTGTTGTGATGACCTCACACCTGCTGCTGCTGTGATGACCTCACGCCTGCTGTTGCTGTGATGACCTCACGCCTGCTGCTGTTGTGATGACCTCACGCCTGCTTCTGTTGTGATGACCTCACGCCTGCTGTTGCTGTGATGACCTCACGCCTGCTGTTGCTGTGATGACCTCACGCCTGCTGCTGCTGTGATGACCTCACGCCTGCTGCTGCTGTGATGACCTCACGCCTGCTGCTGTTGTGATGACCTCACGCCTGCTGCTGCTGTGATGACCTCACACCTGCTGCTGCTGTGATGACCTCACACCTGCTGTTGTGATGACCTCACACCTGCTGCTGTTGTGATGACCTCACACCTGCTGCTGTTGTGATGACCTCACGCCTGCTGCTGTTGTGATGACCTCACGCCTGCTGCTGTTGTGATGACTCCGCGCCTGCTGCTGTTGTGATGACTCCGCGCCTGCTGCTGCTGTGATGACCTCACACCTGCTGCTGTTGTGATGACCTCACGCCTGCTGCTCCTGTGATGACCTCACGCCTGTTGTGATGACCTCACGCCTACTGCTGTTGTGATGACCTCACGCCTGCTGCTGTTGTGATGACCTCACACCTGCTGCTGTTGTGATGACCTCACGCCTGCTGCTGTGATGACCTCACGCCTGCTGCTGTTGTGATGACCTCACACCTGCTGTTGTGATGACCTCACGCATGCTGCTGATGATGTTGTTGATGCTGCTGATGTTGGTGAACATGCGACACATTTTCAACGATGATGACGTTGATGTTGACGATGATGTTTCTGAAAGAGATGACGGTGAAGTCGATGATGATAATAACGAACTATTATTTTTTTATTTTTATTTTACCAGGTAAGGCCCACTGAGCTATGTAGCTCTTTTTTCAAAAGCGGCCTGGCTATCACAAGTCACGTGGAAATGTATAGCAGGAGCCAAATACGGGGGGAAGCGGAGGACCCAGACAAAATCCACGTGACCACGGGAAAAGAGAGCGAGATAGGCGACCTCCACATTTACAGCAGGCGTTAGGGTCCGGTCGAACCCACGACGTCCTGCACCCCAAGCGAGGTAGTTAACATCTCACCACAACGCTTCGGCCCAGCTTGGTGAAGTATGGGTGAAGCAATGATATTTTAGTTTGCTGTAAATTTCCCCCAATCCTATTTCACCGATCGTCACGAGAGGAGGCGTCCGTTCGGAAATCTCGCAGCCCTCCGTGTGTGGTAGAACGGCCCGCGGTGATGGATATCACAGTTCTACCTCTGAGATGTCTTTTTCTTCTTGTGACACTCCGCTCCACACAGAACGACACGCAGAAGCGGATATCACAGAGCTACTACTGAGGTCCCTTTTTTTAAGCGACTTCTGGTCCACACAAAACCACCTGCGGAGACGGATATCAAAGAGCTACCTCTGAGATACCTTCTTTAAGCGACGCTCTCTGGTCAACGCAGAAAGGCCCACGGAAACGGATATCACAGAGCTACCTCTGAGATCTCCTTATTCTTCTTTAAGCGACGCTCTCTGGTCCACGCAGAAAAGCCCACGGAAGCGGATCTCAGAGAGCTACCTCTGAGATCCCCTCTTCTTCAAGTGATACTATGGTCCCCACACATCGATGGGGAGGCAGCACTTCCCCACTCACCCTGCATGTGAGACTAACGTGTATAGTTTAAATATATATTTTTTTACAGTTTAAATATTCGTCACGCCAATGTTTTCATCATTTCCTGCTCGAGTCCAGCAACAAATGTAGTTCACAATCAAATATTAACGTCATTGTTGTTTTTGTGCGCGTGTGTGTGTGTGTGTGCAGTCATTGTTGATATTCCAGGAGCGGTGGTGCAGCGGTTAGCACGCTGCGCTACGAACCCGGCTACCCGAGTTCGATACCCACTCACGGCCAACACCACCGGTGACGATTATCTGAACCGGTCCTATGCCTCCTCCCCTAGGTCGACTCAGCCTCAAATGTAGTAAACATCGCCACTGGGGAGACAAAGGCGGCCGGGCGTGGCGCTGGCCACCCACCCCCTCGTGTGCCGCGCCGACCCTTCATAGCTGCTACTCGCTAACAGCACTTGACCCTACAGTCTTCGTTGAAGCTTACTGAGACCACCGCGCACACGAACGCTGACCGCGAGTCTAAGGTGCCACCAGCACCCAGCGCATCGAGCGCCGGGCCGATCCCGGTCGACCACGCAGCCCCCAACAGCTTGGGAGGTGACATCAACCGCAGACCGCAACTCAGCAGGGCGGGGGCTCTAATTAGGGGTCGGCCCATCGATGCCACCCCCCCCCCCCCTCCCTGCCCAGGTTGACTATAAATGGGACACACAGGGCCAGAGCAGAGACCACACCGAGATCCGATCTCCAAACCATCGACCTCCTTACAAGCTCCGCCAGATACCTCAGTAGAGCAGAGATGGCCAGGTGAGATCCCGCCGTGAACGGGTGCGTGGCGGGGCAGGTCGGGATGATGTGCGGCGTGTGATGAGTTACACGCGGTCATTTTTCCCGTGGTTCTCTACGCGATGTCGACGTTTTTTGTTCACTTTGTTGTTGTTTCTGCTCTCTTGTGCGTCGAAACTTCTTTCGCACCGTGCCTAGCCAACCGTGGCTAATCTATGGGTCTCCGTGGGTGTCAATGGGTGTCTCTGTGTATGTACGTTGAACTTCTTTGGCACCGTACATAGCCGACCGTGGCTAATCTATGGGTCTCTGGGTGTCTATGGGTTTCTCTGTGTATGTACGTTGAACTTTTTTCGCACCGTACGTAGACAACCGTGGCTTATCTATGGGTCTCTGTGGGTGTCTAATGGTCTCTGTGGGCGAGCAGTTCAAAAGAAATGAGATCTGTCAATCTAGACGACGATTTAAAAGTGCATCATAGCTTTCAGTGGCTTCCTAACATTGAAAGGGAAGAGAGCGTTCCAGACGGCCGTGGAAGCAGCGCGTCTGAAAGCGCTGAGGGAGGATGACGATACGGTGACGATGACGACGCAGTGACGATGACGGTGACAATGACGCTGACGATGACGATGCGGTGACGATGACGGTGACGATGACGGTGACGATGCGGCGACGATGCCGGTGACGATGACGGTGCGGTGACCGCGGCCGTCTTTGTTCGACGGCTCAGCCAAAAGCCGCCGTCGCCGCTGCGGGGATGACCGCGGCTCGCGTGACGATGGTTTACGCTCCTTGGCGAGGTCGGCGAGGGCATCGTAGCTGCCGCTGTGCTCACACACCACGGGTCCCCCCCCCCCGCGTAAAGATAGCGAGGGGAAACCGGCGAAACGGGACCGTCATCCGTGTAACAAATGAACTCAAACTTAACGGTGTGATGAGATGGGTGGTGAGCAATGGTCCGTGAGGGATGGTGACACGGGTGCTATGCTTGCTCAGTGACGAATACCTGAACTGCTCCTGGGCCCACCCTAGTAGTAAACATCGCCACTGGGGAGACAAAGGCGGCCGGGTGTGGTGCTGGCCACCCACCCCCTCGTGTGCCGTGCCGGCCTTCATAGGTGTTCTTTGGATGGGGGGGAGGGGTGTGGAGATGATGAAATGTTAACTACCTCGCCTAGTATACAGGAGATCGTAGGTTCAATCCCGACACTGACGGCTGCTGTATAGTTTGGAGTTCGCGTGCCTCTCCTCCGGTTATTCCGTCCACGTCTAAAATCGACAGCACGCGTTCAAGAGCCTTTGGCCGCTGTACATTTCCACGCGATGATGATGATGATGAAGCCCACCTTCGTTGGGCTATCATTTACGATAGCCGCAATCGCTTCTGACAAAACGGGGCTACATCATTGGGGCCTTACCTGGAAATGTTGCAAATAGTTCGTTCGTGATTCTTCTTTAGGCGCTGCGTGTCAACAGCCCTCGGCCACTGACAGTCCGCTAATGGCTCTGTGTGGGGATCGTCGTCTTTGTCTTTCGCCACCGCAGCTTTGAGAGCGCCACCGGCGAAGACTGCAGCTCGTGCCACCGCCGCGGCGGCTCGTGCCACCACTGCGGCGGCCGGGGCTGCGGACACTGCCGGCGACTGGGCCACGGCCTCCTCGGACACGGTGGCTACAGCCAAAGCTGCCACGGCGGCTACGGCATTGGCGGCCACCTGTACGGCGGCCACGCGGGCTACGGCCACGGGGGCTACGGCACCGGAGGCTATGGCCACGGAGGCTATGGCCACGGGGGCTATGGCCACGGAGGCTATGGCCACGGAGGCTATGGCCACGGAGGCTATGGCCACGGAGGCTACGGCCACGGAGGCTACGGCACCGGCTGCTGCAAGCCGGTCACCACCTGCCACACGCGCCCGATAGTCCACCTCGACTTCTGCACGAGCGGCCACGGCCACTCGTCTTGCCACCACTGTGGCGGGCGCGGTTGCGGCCACTGCGGCTCCGGCCACTTCGGCGGGTACGGGCACTACTAGGCCAGTGTGGGGGTCTCTCACTTAATCCCTGCCCACCCCCCCCCCCTTTCTCTCTCTCTCCTTAGCTCCCCCTGGCCCCCCCTCTCCTTAGCTGACCCGGTTCCCTAGCTCCGAGTTCCGAGCGTGCCCCAAACCCCCACCCCCTCTCCCCTCCCCATGCTTGGCAATCGTCTTAGGGTTCGAGATCGACGTACTGATTGGGTTAATTGCGCGCCTGCTGCTGCTGCTGCTTCTTCCACAGCAGTGCAGTGACCCCCACGGGTCAATAGCTCGACGCGGCAGTTCACACAATGGGTAAGAAGTTTCAAATTCCCCCCGCACCCCCCACACCTCCTCATTCGACTGTGGCGGTGGTGGTGTAAGGTGTGGGTAACTCCCACCTCTTCCGAGATGGACTGCCCGGCGTGGAAGAGTAGGCCAAATACAGCGGTCTTTTTCACACGCTGCACGTGCCCGATGATTGCTCAACAAAGTGTACGACACGCGTGTCCCACGTGACGCGGCGAGAGCTTTGATTTTAAATCGGGGCTCTCCGCGTCACGCGGGAGGCGTCGAACAATCATCGGGCGCGTGCAGCGTGTGATGGATTCACCTGCGTTTAACACTCTCGTCAACACCACTGTGTGTGTGTGTGTGTGGCCTCAATAGGAACACACTCGTAATAGGCGACGTTTCGGGCAACAGGACCTTCTTCATTGCACTTTGAAACACGTGCTATACAACGTGATATGGATAAGGGCCATTGCCCCGAATCGTCGATTATTACTGAAATAGTTGATTGCCCTTTTTTCAAGGCCACAGTGTTATTGATGAATGCGTCGAGTTACTGTCATTAATTTTGCTTGCGCACCAATGCCAAACGCAGCACGAAGTGCAGCGCAGACAACATCATTAGCTTGGTGTTGTTATTTAAGAGTGGGGACATTTTGCTCGGGGTGGAGGGGGTGGTGCGAGGTGCGTGGCCAGGACTGGTGCTGGGTAAATCACCGCTCTGGGCGATGTAGCTGGTGGCTGTGGGTGCGGGCAGGTTTTGTGTCACTTTGTGATCATCTTCAATTTCTCTTTAAAGCGGCCACCAATCCCAGGGGCTCAGGATCCTGTGTTTAGACAGATCCGACCGAGATCAGTTGCGCGCAACTCGATTGAACGCAACTCGAGTTTGCGCGCAACTCGGTTTAACGCAACTCGAGTTTGCGTGCAACTCGGTTGAACGCAACTCGAGTTGCACGCAACTCGGTTGAACGCAACTCGAGTTTGCGCGCAACTCGGTTGAACGCAACTCGGTCGAACGCAACTCGAGTTTGCACGCAACTCGGTTGAGCGCAACTCGAGTTTGCACGCAAACTTGAGTTGAACGCAACTCGAGTTTGCACGCAAACTTGAGTTGAACGCAACTGATCTCGGTTGGGCGTCTCTCCAACCTGTCACAAGCAACTGGTCGCTCGCAGTCGGGTCGCAGGCTCGACTTGATCAAGGCGTCGATCGGCTCGGCCAATTGCGGCGGTCGCGCTCCCCACCTCGTTGCGCAACCGATCGCGGCGCAACGTGGAGTGGCCACCGAGTGGGAATCATCACGGGAGCTCAATTCTGGTCGACGCGGGCGGGCGGGCGGGCGGGCGGGCGGTTGGGGGGAGGGGTCCGTGAGTCGGGACGTGGCTGTTGGGTGTCTTCTGCTGTCTTTTGCATTTCCTTCGCCTGTTCTTGGATGCAGCTGTGCCGAGTTGCAACGGGGGCACGCCGCTTTCACTCAATAAAAGTACACATTGTGTCACGTGGCTCTGTGGCTTCCCGCGTTTTACTGTTGCTGCTGTTGTTGTTGTTGTGTTCGAAACAATAAAACGTGTGTTGGACGAGAAAAAAAAACAAACCCCGCAAAAACGGTGACAACCAGTGCAGGCTCAACTGAGGTATCGTGTCGATGTTGAACTTCTTTCGCACCGTATGTAGTCAACCGTTGCTAATCGGAGGTGCGTGGGAAAAAAAAAACGAGACGAAACACAAAAATCAGTTCTAAAGAAATGAGTTTGTCCATCTAGATGATGATTAAAGAGTGCATAAGCTCCCGGTGGCTTACCTAATCATCGGAAGGAAGAGCGTTCCAGACGGCCGCACGAAGCGCAGACTGACAGCCGCGATGCCGTGGCCACAGTGTTCGTCAGCCGGCCGGCAAAAAAACAAAGCCGCTTGCTGCTGCCGTGAGGATGACCGGCGTTTGCGTGATGATAATGATGATGATGCTTGATGCTCCTCGACGAGGGACTGGTGAGTTCCTACACCAAGCGCAAGCCGCACGCGTATCCTACTGTGGGTGTGCGTAGTTTCAGCAGCATTGATTCAAGACAAGAACAACCCTGGAACGATTGTCAGGAAGGGCCAGCCTCGCTTCAACCAATGCAGATGAACTGCCCGTTTAAAAACAGGGCAAAGGACCCCGCTCCTACAATATTATAACTAGTTCACGATGCCTCTCTTCTCCAGGTAAAGGTTTTCAATGAATATAATAACTAGCCGGATAAGATTTTTTTTTTGTTTACAATTTTTACCTATGTATTTTTTCGCATGAAAACACACACAAAAGTTGTTGGCGACTTGGTTCAACTTCTTATATTTAAAGACGTACCCATCGGAAACCGCTCAATTTAAAGATTGCATTCTTAAGTTATTAAAAAAGAACAAACATGAATTAACGCAATACTCTACGAGGGGAAGCTATCCTATCTTTGAGCGTTTTCGAATTATTCAGATGTGAACATCATCAAATGTCGATTTCTTTTCGTTCAACAATGGTTCTCGTTTAAATTTTATCTGCCGTCTAACGCCCTATCAAAGGGGAAAAAAACCCCCGCAATCTTATATTTTGAACGGTCTCTGAATGACACCAGGCACAAACATGTTCATTGGGCACTTTAACATCGAGATTTGGGGGTGTTGCACACTCGAAATGAAGGACGTGGGCAGGTGCCACAAATCGAGGGCAAACACATTTATTGTGGTTAACCCGTGAAATGCAGCAGCACGTGGTGTCACACGCAGCAATCCTCGACCGAGTCGCCATTAACCACGTGACTTTTGTACAAGTGCCGTTAATCAATAACAGTTTTCTTAAACCCAATTCTACTACTGACAAGCCATCTTTGTCTTTGACAATAACCTTTTCATTTCACCATTCGCATATTACTTTAATCCTAAGCTGTATGTCTATCTATACCATAGACTTATATCGGTATCTTACACCCATTACCTGTACTGTATGTGTACAATATACATAATGTATGTCACCATTGTACCACTTACGACTGTGCATGTGTTCTATTCTCAATAGCATTGCAAGTAGTCATCCTCTGGGTGCATGGGCATGGTTATAGACTAAACAGTACTAGGGTTAAAGAATTACAATGACAGTATGTAATTACAGCACATCACCCTTTACAATGCACAGTGCTAAAACCCCTCCAATTGAATATATCACAACCTAACAATTCAAAGCCAAGCTTGAAGTCTAGGACAAGTCTAGAACATTTCTATAACGATCAAAAACAACCTTTGGGACCTTTACCTGTGAAATGCAACATCATATGTGTCACACACAGCAATTATTCAACCGAGTCGCCATTAACCACGTGACTGGTGTACAAGTGCAGTTAATCAATAACCCTGCCAGCCCCCTACAGGCCCAACTCCGTTATCGCATGCTGGTGTACACACGTGCATTGATGGACTGCACAGCACATCAGGGACTTTCACAGAACCACACTTTACTCCCTTGCTGCACAAGGGAATAATTAAAACAGTGATCCATTCCTAATGTGCCACAGGGGCCTTAAAATGAACAATCTCGAATTTTCAGACGTCTCTCCCTGTTGTTTGTGGCCTAAAAGCTACATGTGTTACCATATTCCAGCTCTCTACCTTGTCGGTAAGAGTACCCTGGAGGATTTTGAGACTACATACAGATTAAGGTATTTGTTTACGTAAAAAATAACCACGGTGTATATAGAGCGAATTTCATAACTTATAAAAGAGCTTTATATGAATGGAATCGGGGATGGGAGAGAAGTGGCTCTGAAACAGAAATATATATTTAGGCGGAAGGGCTTGAAGATCCCAGCCCAGTGTTGTATATGTAGGTGTTATGAAAATTGATGAAAATTATGCAAATTTCAAATTTCATTTAATTTTAATTATTTTCATCAATTTTCATAACACCTACATATACAACATGAGAGTTCCACAGTGCGGGTGTCACGTGAGCGAAGGCCCAGAGAGTTCCACAGTGCGGGTGTCACGTGAGTGAAGGCCCAGAGAGTTACACAGTGCGGGTGTCACGTGAGCGAAGGCCCAGAGAGTTGCACAGTGCGGGTGTCACGTGAGCGAAGGCCCAGAGAGTCCCACAGTGCGGGTGTCACGTGAGTGAAGGCCCAGAGAGGCCCACAGTGCGGGTGTCACGTGAGCGAAGGCCCAGAGAGTTCTACAGTGCGGGTGTCACGTGAGCGAAGGCCCAGAGAGTTCCACAGTGCGGGTGTCACGTGCGCGAAGGCCCAGAGAGTTGCACAGTGCGGGTGTCACGTGAGCGAAGGCCCAGAGAGGCCCACAGTGCGGGTGTCACGTGAGCGAGGCCCAGAGAGTTCCACAGTGCGGGTGTCACGTGAGCGAAGGCCCAGAGAGTTCCACAGTGCGGGTGTCACGTGAGCGAAGGCCCAGAGAGTTCCACAGTGCGGGTGTCACGTGAGCGAAGGCCCAGAGAGTTCCACAGTGTCACGTGAGTGAAGGCCCAGAGAGTTCCACAGTGCGGGTGTCACGTGACTGAAGGATCAGAGAGTCCCACAGTGCGGGTGTCACGTGAGTGAAGGCCCAGAGAGGCCCACAGTGCGGGTGTCACGTGAGCGAGGCCCAGAGAGTTCCACAGTGCGGGTGTCACGTGAGCGAAGGCCCAGAGAGTTCCACAGTGCGGGTGTCACGTGAGCGAAGGCCCAGAGAGTTCCAC